CAATGCAGGGCCCCTGGCCGAAGGGATAAGAGGCACTGACTGCGACCTGATAAAACAAAAAGGCTAAAACTTCAAGAATGAATTTTCCAGGAACGCTCAATGTTCTAGAAGAACAGAGAAACGTGTTGCAAAGACACGACATTCTTTAAAAAAATAGAAATAAAATAAAATGGATTTGGCGAGTAGGGGGCGTCCGCGAGAGCCGTTGCAGCCACGCGACGTTCAACTAATCCCAAACGATATCATGCCCTTATATAATGCAAAATAATTTAATTATACTCATTAGTAATCAGCTTCTGGGAGAAAGCTGTTCCGACAGGAAATTGGTCTTCAACACTTTATATAGCTGGAACTAAAAATTCGAGTTGAGATCTCTTGGATTACAAAAATGGAACTTCTGGGTCACAATTAGAAGTAACATATGCGTCATGTGTCGAACTCTCTCCCCAGACAAGAAGTAAAAATATGTCTGTTGCTAAACGAGTTTCACTCGCTTTAATGATGTTGGATATGCATGTTAAATGTATGAATGCTACATGCATGGCCAAGTCATGATTCGGACTTCCTTACATTTTCTTTTGATGGTATTTATAGTAATCAGAAACAGACTTCGGAATTCAGGACTTAACTAATTTCGCCTTTTTTGCATAATCATGCAAAGGCAGAAATTACTTTCATTAGAGATTTGCTTTGCTTGTAGGATGTATATGAAGTTTAAAACAAATGCAATTTAAATTATTGTTCCATCATAATAAGTTCAGAAAGAACTGTGTAGTTTTTTTTTCGCGTATAGGCCAACTCGGAGCAAGCATGTATCCTGCTTCAGCAGGTGCAATTATCATTATCTGGGGGGATCAGCATTTTAGCAGAATGCCGATTTTTATCCCCCAAGGTTGTTAGCCCTGGAGGTATGAACCATGAGATGATAATGAAGATAGTGAGGGATGAAACACGGCCATCTAGAAATTAGATATTTAGGGGGCAGCGGATGAAAGGATGGCATTTACATATAGACATACACAAATACGCCTATGCCCGAGACGGGACTCGAACCCACGAGTATCTGGTCTGAGACCGCTACAGAACTACTGCCCTTACGATCTCGGTCATCTTGAGGAGTTATTATTATTGTTATTGTTATTGTTATTATTATTATTATTATTATTATTATTATTATTATTATTCGGATTGAAGTGATAGAGGATGATGAGGGGTAAAAGGATTAAGACAATGGTGGGATGTGATAGGGGGGGTAGTGGAAGGTGGGAGATGTTTGTGGGATTTTGGAACCATCCTAGCATTCGCCTTATGACCAAAGGAAACTATGAAAAACCCGGTCAGGATGGCAGGCCCGGGGATCGACCCGATTGCTAATCCAGAGCACTATGCAATAAGCCATTTCGCTCGGTATTAATGTTGTGTTATTATTATTATTATTATTATTATTATCATTATTATATTATTGATGTTTCTATTATGTTTATATTTACAAAACGATGCAATAAATGTCGAAGTTTTAAACAAAATACATAATGAGTTGGTAACTTGTCATAATGAAAAGGAATATATGTATGTACTAACTTGCATTCATTATACTTATGAACTTGTTTTTAAAATATTAATAGTTTATTTTTCCATGTGTTTGTTTCAGGTATGTGCCAAACTTGCGTCATACTATAATTTGGGGGTGCGTATTGGTGAGTTTTTGCACATACGTGTTATAGATAATAAATTAATTTTTTTCATTGTGTCGGCGTTCTTGAATCTTTGTAAATCAGGCATCATTTTATTCTATGCATCAGCGAATTTCGATTTTATATTATATCTCTTTATAAAATATTTATCTTAAAAGTTAGGAATTCAACCATTCACTTACTTGGTATTTACGACAGTGTGTAATTACAAGCTCAAGTAAACCCTCAAGAGTTAACCCTCGACACTGATTTAACGTCAGATACATTTCGGATGTCACAGTTCATTTGAAGAAAACCCAAGTGAAACATCTGCTTGCCACACTTCCCAGATAAAACACTGTGTTTAAAGCAGATGATCGTAAACATGTGGCATTACACTTTCGGCCTCCAACACTTTACTTGCAAGATGAAGATCGTTGCTGCTTCTGCACGGGGCTTAAATATAGTAGACACATTTCTATGTAAACCTGTCATATATCAGTAAACAAATGTTCCTCAGATGATTTTTTTTTCGTAGTTAGTTTGAGCTACAAGCCACAACTGAGGTTGAGCGAACAAACGCTTCTGCAGTTAGTGCATGCAAGGTTTATATACATTTTCACGAGCTTTACAGTCTGCACAGGTTACGACAGTGGAAGATAATAGAAACGAACGGGTGTGTGAACGTTAAGCAACCGCGAAACACAACGGTGCACTTAACCACATTCTTGCAGAACATGAGTAAAATGGTTAGTCGTATAATGCGATATGTCGGCTTTCAATTTAATGGAAGCAATGAACATTGCACACAATTGCTTTTCCTGGACGTTTTTCTAGGAAGTAGGTAAAGGAATAGTAAGCGCATGTGGAAATATGAAAGAACATTTAAAAGTGTCACGTCTGAACGTCTGAAGAACATCAGAGGAAAATGAATTTATAACGTCAGAATTTTACAAATACCGGGCGAGAACACACACACACACATTTGATTCAACCTCATAGAATATTTTTATATAAAACCATTACTTACATGATATCCGAATATACTGTAGTTCTCAAAAAGGGTATTATGTTCCTTTTGATCATTATTTAAGTATGCTCATTTGATCAACCCGGTAAAATACATTCCACATTTCTACATTATTTTTCTATTTTCATTTGATATATTCGAAATTTATGAATCTAATTCATAAAATAAGAATCCGTTTCGCGATACGTAGATCGGGCTTTCCGTCAACCCAATACAACCAACAGGGAGAGTAACCTTCGGGCCCAGGAGCGCGTGTGCAGCTCCGTTGTTAAATCGGGGGCGTGTTGGCGTGGGGTGGGGCGCGGCTCAGGCGGCAGCTGGCAGTGACGAAGCTCGGCGAGGCGAGGTGTCGCCGGGAGATTTACTCAGCGCGGACACGGGCGGCCCGGCCAGGCCCGGCGCCCCGCTCGCCTCCTTCTGCTCCTTCCCGCTCCTTTTCGCTCCTTTCCGCTCCTTTCCGCTCCTTTCCGCTCCTTTCCGCTCCGACCCGCTCCGACCCGCTCCGACCCGCTCCGACCCGCTCCGACCCGCTCCGATCCGCTCCGACCCGCTCCAGCATGGTTCTTTTCCGCGGCTTCGTCGTCATACACAGTCTCCCTCTCTGGCGCTCACCCTCCCTGTGAGTCGTGCCAGCCGCCGACACAATGGCCAGCTCAACTGTTTAGTCACGGCCAGAAAATAATGTTTGGGTGCCCTTTGCCCCTCGGCGCGTCTACATCGAATTTAATAAAGAACAAGATTCGCGGCGAAGTCAAACAGAAACGGGGTCTGAACGCAGATGTATCGGTTTGAGCGGACTATATTTAACACTTTTTTACTCTTTGCTGAAATGATTAATTTATTGTTTGGGAATTAGTAATGCATATATTCTCTAACGGGAAAATTATAACAAAAGTCACGCACGTCGAAGATAAATGGACAATCCATCAATCAGGAATATCGTAGAGCCAAGCTAGATTTTATCACACTTTCAATTAAACCACAATAGAGCAACTATTTATCATATAATAATTCATCTAAAAGATCTTTCTTTAAACAGAAGTTTTGAAATCATTTTGCTAGAATTCTAGCGACAAATTCTTTTCTTGCGTTAATTAATTGATTATCGCAATGCCAAACTGAGTAAAAATTCGCAGAACAACTTTGTGCGGCTGAATTTGACGAAACTATCCAGCTAGTACCGAAAATTCTGCCCCCCTTTCGGAGTGGTGCCCTAGGACCTCCCGGTCTGACGCACATCAGTGACACCAATTGATGAGCTGAGCCACCTCAACCAATCAGGGAACCACCTCTCTACGAGAGGATGATCCCCGGCTTCCGTCAATTCATTGGGCGGAGTGAGGGTGCGGGGCGGCGCAGAACGGTGAGTTGGTGCCGGGGGCGGAAGGAGAGATTTGAAGTGAGAAGGTGGAGAGGAAGGGTCGGGTCGGGGAGATGGGATGAGTTGATGTGGCGGGGCGGGGCGGGATGAAGAGGTGAGAAGGCGCGGCTAGGCGGGGAAGGGAGGTGTCGAGGCGGGGAAGGGAGGTGTCGAGGAGGTGGAGTGGCGGGGAGGTGAAGTGCCAGTCCCCCGGTCCAGGTCCTGGAGAAAGAGGAAGTGATTAGCCCGGGTGGGAGGGGAGGAAAGGAGGCGGGGCTGGCGCGGCGCGTCCGTGGTGGCGCGGGGCGCCGTGCGAAAGTGAGCGCGCTATAAAAGTCAAGACAAATTTGTTTGCGCGCGCGGGATTTATGCGGCGGCGCGGCGCTAACGACCGAGCAAAACCTCCGCGCGGGCAGCGTGTTTGGCGGCGCCGCTGGACACGCGACTCGTGCTTGTTTGGAGCGCGCCGCCACGCGAGGGCTGCAGAGCGCGTGCCGCCCGGTGACGAGTGACAGAGCATCGCGCTGTCAAAGCACTCGCGTACGGAGCCCGCTCATTCGTATGCGCATTCATATAATGAGGAGGGCACAAAAGATCGTTAAAGAACAAGAATCCAGTCTTCTTTTGTATTGTCCACTCATATTGGACAGGCTTCCCAATTACATTCCTTAACCCCATTTTTTTAATCCCTCCTTCCCCTCTGCATTTCGCACATCTTTGTCTTCAACATCATTTCTGTCTCCTCTTGCCAATCCCGTCAATTATCAAGTTCGTTTTTCACTAGTTTCTTCTTCTGACAAAATACGCTACTCCGTGATCCACAAAGTTTAAGGCGTAGAAAAAGTATTGAAGATATTTATTCGATGGACAATTAATTACTAAGCAAGATATATAATTATATTTTCTAGTATATTCACTATAAATAAATATTTATTAGACGAAAAGGTGTTGCCGAAAAGGCGTTGCCTGAAAATAAAAATGCACAGGGATCAAAGGCTTTAACAAGGCGACTCCGATTCACGAATGAAACAGAACTTACTGATCAAGTATCAGCAAATGTACAAATGGATTAGAATGCCGCGTGACAGGCTGTGAACAATACATCATGTTATGAGAGAGGGGAGTAATGAAAAAGTAGATATTTAAGAAGAGTCAGCATGGAATATCCGAGTCAGTTGTAATAGGAAAAGCGAAAACACAAGTGGAAGACAATATTCAGCATAAGAAGAATAGGTGGAAGGAGAAATAAAAAGATGGAAACCGAAGTCAAAATAATGGAGAAGAAGACAAAAGAAATAAAAGGAAAATAGGAAGATGAAACAAGGTGAAGAAAGAGGAAGAAAATAGAAAGAAAAAGCGGCAAGGAAAAAAAAGTATGGGGAAGGGAAGAAGTTCAAATTGAAAAGGATAAACAAAAAAGACAGGAAAATAAGAAAAATAAAGGAGAAAAGGGGAGAAAGCTGGAAAATTAAAAGCGGAAAAGGGAAAAGAAGAGAGAAACGACGAAGAAGAAATTAAAAAAAGAAAGAAAGGAGGAAACTGAGAAAGCCCCCATCCTGTGAGCCTCGAGCGCGCCCCGCGGCTGGCGTGCGGGAGCATGTGAATCTGCCCTTGGGGCCCTTCGCTTTCCCTCTCTTGTCTCGCGCCGCTGCCGTGGCACAGTGACCGCCTCCGCTATTTCGGGGGCCGGCTGCCGCTCCCAACGAGCTGGGCGGGCGGTGGCGGCGGCGACGGAGGCGTCGGTCCGTCGCGGAGGGCGCCGACGCGTCGCGGCGTTATGACGGCCCATTGACGCTGGCGCCCGCCCAGACGCCACGCCGCGCGTCCTGCCGCTCCTCTCTGGTTTTGGGGAACTTTCAGTTGTAATGAAGTTTTTGTTACGGCGAACTTTCGGTTACGGCGAACTTTCGGTTACGGCGAACTTTCGGTTACGGCGAACTTTCGGTTACGGCGAACTTTTGTTTCGTAAACTAACGTACTATTAAAAGACAATTCCATTCAATCTAATAGAAAATGTTTTGTAAATTTACTAAGCAATACTTTTTTCCAAATGTACTGTAGTAAGTTGCGTTGGTTGTATTTATTAAAAGTATCAATAAATTCTTAAATATTTATAATTGTCGCAGTAGCTTCTCAATAAAATGATAAAAAATATGAAGTTTGTAAATGAAATAAATTGTATTAATACAATTATTTCATGTAAGTCCCAATAAACAGTTTTGTCCAGTTCAGAACCGTTAACAGAATAACAAACTCGGCCTGTCTTTCGGAATGATTTTGGTTCAAGTTTTACTAGTCATTGCACATTCTCGGAAATGGGTCACTTTTTTCCCTAATGTATTATGAGCTTGCTCTCAACACGATGCAGTCATTACAAGAAAAGCGGTCACAACACACATCGACTCGGACAGTCGTAATTTGGAAGATAAACTTACAACAAACAATGGTTTTATGTTTTCTTACAATATGTTTTTATAAAACGTTCTAAAACAATTGTAAATTGTATAGAAATAATAGATAGACTGCTTTGGACCTATCCATCAACTACGATCACAAATAACTACAAAAATTCTTTAAAATTGGTCGGACAAATACAAGTTTATTGGAACGGTAAAAACTAAACGAATTTGTTGGTGAGTCTCTCCACAATCTTCACGTTTATTTAAATAAAAAATCAGATGGTATCAGTATTTTATTAAGTTTTTGTTTTTTTTCATGATTTGGAATAGTGCAATGTTCATTGTCTCGGTAGTCTCTATGTTCATTAATATCAGAATAATCATTTATTTCAGAGCGAAGTTTGTTTTAAGAAGATGATAAAGGTATTTTCGTTAAAAAATTAAAATGATTACGAGACGTATGCGGCATAAAAAGGAAATGTTCAGTTCGCTACTTTCTTTCTAAAGAGATTCTAGTTAACAAGGACTGTCAAACGAACTGTCCCAGTCTGATGATTAAGATGTGAAAAGGTCAATTATACGAGTATATAATTCAATTTATTTATTCACGAATTCGATAAAGTATGAACAGTTTCAGCACAACAATAATACTTAATATCATTCAATTCCACTTTTTAGTACGAAACATTTCGTTATCTCTACAGCAGTGCAGCAAGGTCTTCTTGTTTAGATAAGGTCACAAGTCAGGCTTTCTTGAATTACACAATTTCTTTGCATACACTGTATATTAACTACGGACACTATGTTACGTTTCATTTCTAATAAGAAGTATATTAAGTAAGGACACATCATTTATTTTTAATTGTCAATAAGTGAAAGGTAATTTTCACTAATAAAACCCATTTGTGAGGAACTTCTTGTAATTTAACACTCATTAACGGTTTTAGTACACAATTGAATGTGATGCATTTTACGAAAGGATTGGAAGGCCGTCAAGATAAATATCTTCATCCCCTCTTTTACAAAGTAACAGCTCGTAGAAAGCATTTCGGAGGGCTGATCAATATTCTACTTTACGCTTTACCATCGTTAAAAAGAGATGAAAGAATGTGTGGCATTTATATTTCAATGTCCGTTGTTGTAGCATAGATTAAAAAAAGTAGTGTGATTAATTAAAACGGTACATAAACCTCAACAAAGGATTAAGAATGAACTCTTAATGAGGTAGATTCATGGAATACGCCTCAAGAAACTGAAAAGCAATCCTTACTAGAATTTCACTCACGATGAACCCACAGGAAACAGGAAACTGCTCTGCATTTGAATCGGTTTAACCCATGACTTCATCTTCGTCTTCGTAGATAAAATTGTAGCATTCCAACCGCGTGGAAAAATAAATGAAATTAGCAGCTCTGGCCGACTCATCGAATCGCAACGCAAACGACGTAGTACGGAAGCCGCCGTTCGAACGCTGCAGATATTCGGCGTCACTAATCGCGCCTTGCTCCTGATGGCGACGGGCCTTGGTTCGCTTCCCACGCATTCGCCTGTGACGACATGAAAGCGCGGCCGGCGGCCCTAATTTAGTGCAACGCAAATGCCTCCCGACCCACGCGCCGAGCTGCAGGCCGGGCTTGCACCTGCGGACTCACACACCTGTTCATAAGCAGCTTCGAGTGGTTCTCACCACTTCGCTCTAAAGTGGTTGTGGCTTGACTCTGCCTTTCGAACATCGGTGATACACCGCAGTTTTGTGGTACTCCTGGGTATTGCTTCCTAGAGGTACTGCATGATGAATTAGCATTCAAATACAGAAATGGGCTGTAATAATATTTATTAATTATGAAAAAGAGATCCTAATGTCACTTTCATTGTTTTAATAAAACATTTGTCCCGAAAATGATACGAGTCATTACGTTGGAAAGGTATTAACAGTAAAAAGGAATGGAATTTAACATCGATTTTTTTATTAACATAATTCTCATACGTCACCTCATTGTGGTGATCAACACAAATGTACTGAGAGATTGATCTAACATACGGATGTGTTCATTAAGGCTGTTCTGGGCAATAATGAAATTTACATCGATAGTCACTCTCCAGTGCTATCATGGTTGCAAAGCCAGCAATCTAGTTCACTGGTAATTTACTTTTTGAGCACATTTTGGCTGTTCAAAAATTGTAAATGATGTATAAAACGTAAATACGAATTGGTCTAAAATACACATATGTGACCTCTCGTCTCCTTTTTCCAATTTTTAGCTTTTGAAAAAAATGAAAAAAGTACGTTTTGGCGAGGTAATTCTGAGCAAATTATAAAATAAATACTTTTGGTTTTTAGTAATGTAAATCAATCCAAAGGCCGGGTCTTCGAGGCACTAAAAGGCTAAAGAAGGTTAAAAAAATAAAACTACTGTGCTTTTTTTTATACTTATTCATTTTATAGAATTTGAAGCACGAAATAAAGTTAAACTATATCATAAGTGTCCAAAGCCGAGAGAAGTTTCCCTCTGGCCTCGGAAGGTAACACTCCATTGGTAAGGCCGTGCTAATTTAATACAATGTGAATTTTTATTAAAGAAACTTGTTTAAGGTCTTAACGGATTTGTAAAATCTTATTTACAATCAATACACATTTTTGCATGTCTTTAACAAGTACACAAAAATAATAATGAAGGCTGCTGCTGTCTACTCTAACATTCTTCACGAATGTTACTGTGGATTGGTTTTAGCTAGTTTTCTCGCCAAAAATGTAATTTCATCACATTAGAAAGCCTTTCAGCTCTTCTAGAAGGCTGCAGTTGAACAAGCAAAACAATTGGGAATGTTGAGCTTGACTAAGAAGGAAGAATATGAACTATCCCTTCAGACAATGCAAATCAGTTTTATTACATTCCGTGGCATATTGCTGCATGACCAAGTGTTGTTTGTGGCTCATAGTCCTCTAAGATATATTGTCGCAGTTAATTGGCGGCTCCAGCAAAAGGCACAATTCTTTGATAGAATTCCGACTGCACACAACATGTTATAAAAGCCAATTACGCCAGCACATTTCCGTAAATATTTGTCCACATTGGCATTGACATATAGCAGATAACGAGCTTGCAGATGTCATGGCAAGCCTTGCGCTAGAAGTACACTCGTGTATGCATCCTATCAATGACATGGACGATGGCCGAATACATTGCGAAAATGCACATTGTATGTGCACACTCTTGTAGCCCTCTCTGCAAAACAAAGTTACAGAACAAAAGAAAATGTGCATACACCGTGTGAATATACAGTGCCACGGAATACTACACGCTCAAATTTTAAGCACCGTGAGTGCACTGTATTGTAAGAAGACAAAAAATGAAACATAATAAATATTTGGAAAAACTCATGTTACATTAAAAAATGTAATCGTTTTGTGCCCAGCATCTATTTCAATTATAGTTCTCTAAATATTCATACTAAACATCATTTTACTTGCTTTATCAGCGACGTGCATAACGAAGGTTACTGATTAAAAATTAAGTCCTTCTTTGGCTACTAATCTAAGCAAATACGAAACCAAAGGCTTTTTATGATGAGAATTCAGATTTCAACAGAAGTCCTTTCTTGCAATTTTCCTAGTTCCAGCCAAATGTTGCATCGTAAAGTTTTAAATACACTGTCAT